TCGTCCTGAATATGCATGCTATATTTGCCACTGGACGTTAAGCAACCAACAATCAATCAAATTATTAAATATCTTGTTTGAACATCATTTGATCCAGGCTCTTGTATTGTTCTTGTTCCCTCCATAATTAAATCTGATTATACCCGAGAGAAAAAACCCAGTAATAACTATAATTAAAAATACAATTATATCAACAGAGGAAAACACACACTCGCAATAAAAGTATAAATAAATTAGTTATAAAAAAGGACAAAATTATAAATTTAATAAATGTCATTGGTTAAACTAATATTATTTAAATTAAGAAACCATTCTCTAAAATGATAAGATAAACAGGGGCAAATGTTACAAAGTTCAAATAATACAAGTATAACATGTACAAGGATGACAGAATGTTCAAAATGAAAATGGAGGTACACAGTACTTACAAAAATAAATACATCCTGTTACAATCATGCTTTCACTACAATCATTGAAGACTTTTAAGATGTATCATTTTTGAAAAACTACATTTCCCCAAATAAATGCTTGTTCACCCAAGCAAAAGAGGAGGGTAATGCGGTTTTCGAGTGGAATGGTTCCTCTGGTATCTTCTACCTTTCTTCCCCCAAGGGTGACTGGGGAATAGAAATATGGTCACCATTGGTCTTCCTCCGACCGGCGGTAAAACCCTCGCTAAAGTGGGGCGTCCGTTTGGCTGTGCGGGATGTACAAGTTCGCAGTCACGTCCGGTCAGAATGGGGACGTTAAATCCGATGCCTCGTGTAAAGAGAGTGCCACGCTCTTTGCACGTTAAGAACCCTTGCAACAACTCTTTGAGGGGTCCGTAGGTGGCCTGTTGCAAGGCTTAATTTCTGTCCTTATCCAATATACCCTCATTTCCCGTGGCAGTCCAAATTTCCCAGTCCTTCATCCCGGACGGCCTCTATTACAGGACCTACCTATTGTATTTATTGTTAACTTGTTCTCGTCCTGAACATGCATGAAATATTTGCCACTGGACGTTAAGCAACCAACAATCAATCAATCAATCAATCTACCTTTCTATTATGCTTTGGACGCATGAAATTTATATCATGTTGTTTCAATTTTTAACATCACTCATACTAAGACGCATTAGTTACGGCATGTCAACAATATGAGTTCAAACAGACCTAGAAAATAAAAATTGCACGAATTCGCTATCCTATTTATGACTATATTTTTTTCTATGTGGTTATACCGTCGACAGTTTTCGAGGATGATGGTTAATTAGAAGGCGTCTACACTAAAATGTACACGAAATACTGATACTTATTATCGAGCCATGCTTTGCTATTTGCTTATTTCAGACTTTATATATTTCAGTATGTTTTAAATGAGTTGTCTCATCGGCACTCATACCACATCTTCTTGTATCTATTTAAATCCAATATGAGAATATATATTTGAAATTATGAAGAAACTAGTGGATTTTGGCTTTGTTTTTTAGGTTTAGGTCCAAGTAAATTTTACACCTCTGGTATTCCCCGTTGGTATTTAACCATGCAGACCCTACCAGATATAGGCAGCGACCCCACAATGCTCTATTTCTTTCCAGTTAGCCATTGACAACAACATCCGTTACAATCCTAGTCAGACAGAATCTTCAAGCATCCTCAAGACGCAATAACCAGCGAACTTGGTAAGTCCTTGGTAGTGCGAGCAGCGCCAATACAGTATCTACTAGGTAATATCTATAAACCAATAGATGAATTGGATGGTCGGAATGCCTACAGCGCGTTTCCACTAGGCAGGGGACAGCAGGGCTAGGCCAAAGGAAACTATACAGCAGAGGAAAGAGAGGATGAAGAAGCAGAAGTCTCGTCTCATGGCTGAGGCGAGACGTTTGCCAAGTGGGAGCTGCCCAAGAAGGATGGAACACCAATTAAGAGCAGATGGCACCACCAACAACTCCTCCAAATCGGGAGCAGTGCCAGCCACAATAGGCGTCCTCAGCAGAGGGGATAGTTGGTATCTCCTGTAGGGAATGTGTGAGGTAGGGGTATTCCTACACTCCAGTATTTCTTTCAGTAGATTTAATTGCATTAATTACATGTATATAGTAACAATATGAATATGGGAAAAGGTTACATTTTCGCCTATGCAATATATGAAAAGGTATACATTTTTGAAATGTTAATTAAATGGCAAGGGTTAGGTAACAGAATCCCAGCGGCACCCCTATCAATTAAGTATTGAAGTGCCCCTCCCCCGCGAGACCATCCTAGCCAGACAGAATCTTCAAGCATCCGCAAGACGCAATTTCCAGCGAACTTGGTGAGTGCTTATAAGTAGTATATGATTACTGAATACCCACAACTTTGGAGTCATAAAATATGGGATGGTTACTAAACTCCCACACCCCCACAACATTGGGGTCATAAAATATGAGATGATTACTGAATACTCACACCCCAACAACTTTGGGGTCATAAAATATGAGTTGATTACTGAACACCAACAACACCACAACTTTGGGGTCATAAAAAAAAATGTATATATCGGAACACCCACAACTTTCAGCGCATGTCTTTTTTTTTTCAAAAAGCACACGATAAAATTAAAACAAAACAGATGTCCTAACACCTGCACAAACCACTCCTAAATACGTTTTCAGAAACAGATGCAAAAGCACACATTAAGCCTATAAAAACGTGAGGTGTGTGTTAACACCTGTACTACCATTCCTTAAATTATGACACTATAGGTGATAAATCATCTAGGCACCACACTCCTTTTCAATCATTCAACACCTGTAGTTCCCAATCCTACCACAACAAAACAGATGTCCGAACACCTGCACAAACCACTCCTAAATACGTTTTCAGAAACAGATGTAAAAGCACACATAAAGACCATAAAAAACGTGAGGTGTGTGTTAACACTTGTACCACTCCATAAATCATGACACTACAGGTGATAAATCATCTAGGCACCACACTCCTTTTCATTGATTCAACACCTGTAGTTGCCAATTCTTAAAATACTAAGCAGTATAAATAGTTGCGGGTTCTGCTTAGGAAACAAAAAGAAGCTTGTAGTCACTAGAGTATAATGTAAGTGTGATTTTTAATTTGTCTGGGTTTTTTTTTCCACTCACGATATTTTGTTGCATGAGCAAATGACTCGTTGAAATTTACGCAATATATTATTTGTGTAAAACAATAATAAAATACAAATTGCTACATATTTTATTTAGAAAAGCTAAAGTCTGTTATTGTCTTAAAGTTCCGTTCTCGGGGTTTCAGCTTTTAACCGCACAATTGTGCGTTCCATCATCTCCATGATATCTTGGTGGTTTTCTCCATTTCTCCATTTCTACTTTGATCATTATCAAATTTGCTATCTGGGAGGATATTTCCCCCCAGCTCATTGGTTTCAATACATCACAGTGTGTGTCACACATTACCCTGAAAAGAAATCAAATACATATAGAGAGATAACTCGACATTAATTTTTCTATACAAGTATCTGTATCGTTGATGGTGATCATTTTTTTATTGCTTTTTTTGTTTATGTTTTTATTCTCTGTAACCTCTATCAACGTTGAAAGATAACATGTGATTATTAGTCAAAAAAGGGTTTTATTTTTATTCTGTACTGTATCTTAAAAACCGTCTTCCCCCCTATTTTTCTTGTCATAATGATTAGATACTTTCCCATGTTTTAGTTTCATATTATGTATAATAAACACTACTAACTGGGGTTCTTTACCCCCTACAATACCTAGTATAACCCCTATATTTTGAACACCTAGATACACAACCTCCATCTTATATGGGGGATAATTAACCCCAACCTTTCCAACACCCATATAACATCCAATGATATGGGAGTTAAATAACCCCCAGACTTTAACATTCAAATGTCAAGGAGGTTAAATTGATTTTAAATGTTATACAAGTTTGACACCCATATATCCAACATCTAAGTTTTGTACTTGAGGGTCATGTCCCATTTGTTACATCCAGAATATATAGTGATAAGATTTTCTCTTATGTATATTTACTCCAATTTGTTTTCTTTCTTTTTTTTTTTTACCAATTTAGGGTAAAGGGGGTGTTTCTGTTTAACCAATCAGGAATACAAATATATAACTGACAATTCAACAATATTTTATAAAAGTTGTTTAAACTCTATAAGGTTATATATATTTTTGAATTCTAACAGAAAGGATTTACTATTTAAATTAACCATGTCTCATACCAGAATCAATTCAATATCACCACAGAATAGTGTCACATCAAGTTTAATGAATATGTACCATCAATATGAAATTCACATAAATGTACTGAAATGGACAGGTGTTATAGTGATATTCATATTTACAGCATCTACCCTATGGATAACTGGCAGTTTATATTTGTCGTCAAACATGTCAAAGCATAACATGAATGTTTCCAACTATGATATAAATGAACAGAACCTTACTTTTAACCAATCATTGTGTTCTTACATTAAACATTTCCGTCTACCTGGTGAATTTATGTTAACTGTGTGTGAATACAACAAAAGAACAATTATAGACATTCGTCAATTTTTGAACAACAAACCTACTATTAAAGGAATATCCTTATCACAGAGACAATGGGACTATTTGAGGTCTATAATACAGTATATAACAAGAGTTATCTATCACAGAAGTTAATAACAGGACTTACTTATGTATTTGGAAAATATCAAAATAAATGTATGAGCTATTATGTAATATATGTGTTTTTCTTTATATAAAGTATATTTACAGGTATTTAATGTGTTATACATGTAGACATGAATGGTACAGATAAAAACTCACATGTGACTTTGATTGTGATAAGAGACGGAAGGCAAGAGGGTAACTGCATTCCGGTCCTGTCCACACATTTGCTCATTATGAGTTTGTCTCACCGTAAGGGTACTTTTTGTGTAATAAAAGATTAAAGAAAACAATCATAACATACAACTCTTTTATTGTATTTCTTTATATAACTAGAGTCCATTTCCAAAGATCAAATTATATGCCATTTGTTCTTCTTTCTAATAGCATTTGTCTTTTTCTCATTTTTAAATGTTTTTTAAAGCTAATTCCCTCTTCTAACTTTCTCTTTTGTATTGTCAATATGTGGGCATTGTACGCTATCTTGGTGGCTAAATCTTCGATTCTTGTACTCATAATGTTGTTTAAATGTTCCACCATCTCTATTTCTGAAGGTCTAAAAAATATAGATAAAATTTATTTTTTACAGCACAAAATTAAAATAATAAATTATGATATATACAATTACTAATGATTTATTATATAATCACATTATATAAAGGTTTTTTAAAGTGATTTTTTAAACATTAAAGTCAACGGTTATAATATACAATATCTAAATTTTGTGAAGATATATCTCCCTGATGCAAGGATCTGACCTTGAATAATATGGCTTAATGTTTAGGAACTATGTGTTTTATTTGCTCACAATCAGACATTTTCTTTTAGATTGTGGATCTTTCAATTATTTTGATGTAATCTGTACTGAAGAAGTATAAATTACCAAAATGGTCATTTATAGAAGTTACATTAACGGTGATAATGGTATATTTCGTTGTTTTACAAAAATTGTATCTCTCTACACTTCTTTTCCCCATATTTTTGGGTGGGGTTAGTCCATAATTAACTGTACAAAATTCAGGAAAGGATGTGTGTGTGTTGTATTGGAGTTATATTATTTTAAAACAAAATAGGCTTTTAAAAGAAAAAATATACTCACATGTTCTGGGTATTTCTATTAGGTGGCTGTTGTTGCACAGGTTCCAAAGGCACATTAGTAGATCTACAAAAGCATAAATTAGATGTATTACTTTTATGTAAAGATTATAAAATACATAAATTTTAGCAGTATATAGAAGATAAATGAAGATAAATTTAATACAATGGAAAACGAATACCACAGCAACAAATCAAAAGGATAATAAAAACAAATCATAAATTTATAGACTATGGCAAAATTCGGACACATGCAAACAAAGGACGCAACAAGAAATATGTATAATACACACGAAGACAACAATCAAGTACATGGACAGTGTAAACTCACTCAAAGGATGTTTAAATGATATGTTATCAAAATAATTGATTATATTGTGAATATGAAGGCAACATAGTTTTGCTAACAACCTTAATGATATATACCTGGTCTGTTCAGGGGTTCTAACTGGTACTTCCTGTTTTATGACAGATTCCATTTTAATCTAATAATGAAAGAAACAAAAATATATTTAAAAAACAGATATAACCATTACAATAGTAGGTATGTATTTAATAAATATACACAAATATTAAAGAGGGTCTTAATGTGGACATTTTTCCGAAATCTCTGAACAAAATTAAGGAGAATAAGGATCACATTAAATTCAACAGTTTTCTGGTTTTGTTATTCGTAGTGAAATATCATCTCCAAAATCAGGAACAGGCCTAACTTACGGACATATTTACACTAAATTCCTTTACACAAGTTCAATATCATTTTTTTTTTATTATTTAATTCAGAATTTAGGGTTTACCTGTGTCACATTTAGACTGATTAAAACAAACATTAAATCACTTACACATGTAGTAGAATTAACCAATTCAAGTTTAATTAATTTATTAGAATTATAGAAACAAGTTTATTTTGAAAGGTTTCTAACAACAAAAATTCATAAATTTTAGTTAAAATGAAGATAACAAATATTTTATCTCATATATAAAGAATATGCATTAAAATGAAAAATAACTCAATAAATTGTACTTACGTTTTTCTCAAATTTCTTTCTCTGAATAAAGTTTAACTGATTTTTACACGTATTATATACAAGTGTTACATAATAAATCAGACTTTTTAAAACTAGACTATATGCGTAATAGCAAAGATTTATTATATAAATAACCCATTCCAAATGCCACCCGTCTGGTACCCTGCTTACACTCTGGGAAACCGTTAATCATCTTTGGTAATAGGATGTCACACATTTCATTAAATTTGATTAACATCTTGCTAAAGGATCATTATTATTTTAAAATGTTTTGTTAATGTGAGAAAATATGTAATAGTAAAAAATTATTATATAAACAACCCATTCCAAATGCCACTGCTTACAGTTAACTGTGAAACCATTAATTATCTTTGGTAACTTCATTTCAATTAGCACATTACTAAAAGATCATTATCTAAGAATAGTTTTCACTGTGTAATTTTAATCATGTTGTTAACGTTTGAAAATGATCGGAAAATTAAATATCTTATGTAACGTTCCGGAACCAATAACATATCCATTCCAACATATATATTTAGTGAACCGTAAGGAGTTATGTAATAACCACAGTTAATTTTTTCAGTTTTCTCTCTTACGACGTTAATTATGTATATTAAAATATGATGAAAATTGAATTGTTTATAAAATATACTTATATTGTATGCTATATATTATATTTTTTTATGACGATTCCGATGTTTTTATTCTGTTGTTTACAACTCATCACGTTCTCCTTGGTACATTAGAAAACAAACATGGCATTTTGGATCGTTCATTTTCTGGTGTTATCGTTAGTTTTAAGCGTAGAAGGACAGATAGATTGTGAATATGAAACGGCAATTGCCAACTGCTTCTGTAGTACAGAAATTAACATACTTCAAAACGTCAGATTTGTTGAAATTCAGTCTGAAAGTTGTAATTGCACCATCAATTTTCTTGAGGCACAAGAGCAACCGCCAACAGTGGTACACATGTTTAACAAATTATGCAATTGGCACTGCAATGAGATAGAATGTGGTAAGTTTTATGATTCCCCTCACAAGATTTATGTCTTAAAGTCCCACCATTCTAACGATTTCAACAGTTTGCCTTATTTCGAAAATTAAAAAGGGGGAATAACTCTAAGGGCATCCGACCAGATCTTGACAAGGAATTATTATAAAGTTGAAGGATAAATAAATCTGATCTTCATGTCCCAAATCGGAGATGGAAACTCCATCTATAGCTTTGCAAATTTCCAGTAGAAAAATGTATGGTGGTAGGTCCTTGATGGGAACTTGTCAGAAAAAAAAATGCTAGACTTATATGAAAATAGCTGGAGCTAATTTGCCCCTTAATCACCATAGACTGTGTCGATGTCCTATAAAGGGATGCCAAGTAAATGTACATTAGAAATCGCAAATTATTAACAATTGAATGAAATACATCACTTTCTTATCTGTCCATTCTGGATATTAGTATGGCAGGTCATAGAGGTCAAGTGGCGCCAAATGTGTCTGCTGCTGTGGGGAGCAAATGGAACGTATTCTGTATGTGCATAATTAAACAATTTTGTAGTTGATTTTTGCAGTAAGTGTGAGTGATCAATATTGTTATTCCATGGGAACATTTCCAACAAATTTATTTTAAAACCAGGGATGAAATATCAAATTTCTCTTTCAATGTCATGCGAGATTGTAACCAGTTTCCAATCGGTTCCAGTATTAGATTTTTTTTTCATTTATTTTACAGTACCAGACAATATTTTACCAGAGGAAGGAAAAACAACTAGGAAACTGGAAATAACTACAATTCATGGTAAGATTTATTATTTAAGTATGATTATTAATGCGCAATACTTAAGATACTGCCAATTTGTTTTTTTTTGTGTGTGTGTTTTTTTTTAAGGAAGGAATTAAACATGTTTTATTAAATTTTTTTTTTCATTTATTTTGTAGAACCAGACAATGTTTTACAGGATTCTCAATTGGAAATGACTAACAAACAGAAAATGTCCACAACACTGACTACAAATCAAGGTAAGATTTTATTATACAATTATTAATGAGTAATACTTCAGCTATATGCAGTACAATATGTTTTTTTTTAAAGGGGATTGATGGTAAAATGTTGGGGGCAGTAAATTTTACCAAGATGCCTACTCTTATCAAATAATATAGAACTTTATACTGTACAGAGCATGACATTTCTCCAAACGGTTTCTCTACAATGGTCTGGGGTCAGGTTTTTATATGACTGAAAAAAAAAACGGTTGTATTATGGTATGTGGGACAGTCCATGTCTGGGTTGGTGTTGTCAGTGTCTGTGGACACATCAGTTTTTAATATAACTTTGAAATTTTAACATGAGATTCCTTGCCGATTGAGGACCTATCCAAGTAGCTCTGTAAATGGAACATTTTGATTGTTGAGCAGGTTTTTTTTTAAAGGGCCCTACACAACATAGTAATGATTTATTTATAATAAATTTTTTTTATTTCACTACAGGACAAAACAATGATGAACTATGGTGACAAGATGTCAAGCACCATGGAAACTGCTATGATAGGTATGCATCTATAGTTACTTAAGTTATGTCTGTTTAAATACAGAAGAACTTTGATTGCTGGAACACAATGGATATCTTGAACCTGTTTTGTTGTCCCCCTATATCCTAAAGGGAGGTAATTTAATTATCTCCCTTGCCTGCATCAGTAAAGGGAGATAACTGACTACTTTTTCTCATTTATAATAGTACTAGTAAAAAAAATGGAGTAAACATATATGAGATATGATTTTACAGACATGTATAAAATTTATTATATATAAAGGTCTGATGATATGTTTAATTTATATTTATATGAATTTGTTTTACAGCATTCTGGGCAGGGTGTGGAATTTTTGGGATGTTTACATTTATGTCCCTCCTGAAATGGATACTACAACTGAAACGAAACACTACATATTTGCCATTACACCAACCGCTAGACACCACCACCATTACAGCCGACAGACACCAGATATCGCAAACACACCCCCCAAGGGTGACTGGGGAATAGAAGTATGGTCACCATTGGTCTTCCTCCGACCGGCAGTAAAACCCGTGCTAAAGTTAAGAACCCTTGCAACAACTCTTTGAGGGGTCCGTAGGTGACCTGTTGCAAGGCTAAATTTCTGTCCCTATCCAATTAAACCCTCATTTCCCGTGGCAGTCTAAATTTCTCCGACCTTAATCCCGGAAGCCCCTATTACAGAACCTACCTATTGTATTTATTGTTAACTTGTTCTCGTCCTGAATATGCATGAAATATTTGCCACTGGACGTTAAGCAACCAACAATCAATCAATCAATCGCAAACACAGACCTCTTTTTTGAGTATGATTTCCTCTACTGTCCCGCCATCACTCACTCCACCTCCGACATCAACACCCGACTATTCCATAGACAGACTTCCTGTTTTTTCATTTTAGTCTACACCAATTGAACACACCATACCCTTACCAACATCAGATTCAACTACTACTTTTTTTGAAAACAGAGACTCCTCACCCGAACCGTCTGCTCCACCTATGGAAATGGTAGAACTGAATGAACCGGTGGCCACCAGAACCCGCAACAAGAAGAAACAGTTAGAAGCAGCCTTGTAAAATTTTTTAATCATGTTATATTTTCCTTAATTGTTGAACTCTGGTAATTTTTTATTTAAATAATTATAAATGCAAAATATTTTTTTAAGAATAATCTCTCCTTTAATTGAAAATTTAATGGTATATTTTGAACACTTGAAATTTTTAAAAATAAACTATTTACCCTCTCATTTGAAATTTTAATACATTTTCTCACCTGAAATAAAAGAATTGGAAAGTACATATTAGAAATACACTCATTAGCTAGTAGATTTTTGCTTGTTTTGATTTTTAGGCCTAATCCTTTTTATTTAGGTCAATGTATTTGAGCCTTTATTTTTTATGTTGGAGAGGGGGTGATGTTTTTCATAAAGGGGAATAGTAAGGTGAATGCATTTATTTTTAGTATCTCAGTGAAGATACATACACCAATTTCTTTAGTTATATAATATTTTTTTTTTTGTATCTATGAGAGGATTCTTATTATTAAAAAACAATAGATCCAAAACACTCAATGGTACATACTTTTTAAATATGGATTTGCTGTCTCCCTAATTTTATTAAAAGTGCTTTATGGTGAAAGGGTGTATCTGGTTTTGCCTTTGAATGTATATTATTATTTGACCACACTAGGATAATACACATGTTTTAGTTTTAAATCTATAATGTTAAACTTTTCAACCTAAAGAAATATACTTACATCTTTCATAAAAGGGTTAATTTACATGTGTAAATTTCATTTATATTTTTTTTTATACCCATTGCAGAATAATATGATGCTCATATTAAAGATGTATATAGAGTAGTTTAGTATTTTTTTTTTGTTATACATGTTTTATGTATTGATGTTTAAAAATTTTATACTCATGTATGAAATTATTGAAAAACTCAATTACACCATTGGTTGTTAATTTTTTATTGTTGAAACTTGTTATTTTTTTTTTAAAGGTATTTGATTTGTATTACCTCTTCACTGTTTTTTTATATGAATATATTTTACTTGATATTATTGCCATAACTGATGTTTTTAATGCCATATGTCATTGTGCTTCATAAAAAGATAGTCAAGGTACTACTATAGAGGGTTCTTGGACCCCCCAAAATAAAATTAAGACCCCCAAGTTATATCATCTTACATAATTTCAAATAACATAATATGACATAATATGACATAAAATGATATAATATAGGGGTCATAAATAAATTATATGAATTAAAACACCCATTATGACAACTTATGACACCCACTTCTAACCTATCATGACGTCATAATGCCATACATTTTTATAGCACCCATACATTTTAATGCTGACTCATCCTTTTATAACACCTAATGACAGATTTTTTTTCGCTTGTGAAACAGGTGATTAATTTTAACACTGACAATGATTAAACACTGTGTAGGCGACAAAATCATGAATCAATGATGATTGCAATCTTTATAAAATAAATGACTAAATACAATATTATTCTTAATTTATTGATATGTTCAATTACTAAACATTTTTTGTACTTTAAGGTACAACAGGCGATTTTCTATCTTATCACCATCTTTAATTTCTTTCTCCAATTTTTTTTTAGTTCTTTTAAATATGATGTTGTGGTAGTTCATTTTCACTTGCAAGTTCATTATCTTTTTATTGATTATTCTGTCCACCTTTTCCAAATAAGTAATCTCATCTTGTTCATTTGATCTTAAAAATTATTTTAATATTTATGTTAAAAGGTATCTAAAACATGACAATGACAATCACCTCTCTCTCTCTCTCTCAAATTTTTAATTCAATAAATTAATCCAACAGTATTGTAAAACATAAAAAAAAAAACCAAACTTACATTTGTTGGATATGAGGGTGTTGTTTCGTCCTAATCTCCACGGATGGAGCAAGTGGAGGTGGAGCAGTGTATCTAAAAAATAAATATAAATAAATATATAATCCCAGCGAGAGAAGAACATACCATCATGTATCTTTTGGAAAATATTGTTTGTGCTGTATTTAGACCCCTCTAACATGAAATTTAATTGTTTTGCATGCACACGTATAAAAATTGCGGTTTTTATCCAACCTAATCATAGGTTTGAACGTTGTTTTCAATTAAGACTTTTATGTATATATATGTATATATGAGTATATTAAAATCACGACTGAATACAAAGTATGCATTTTCTATTGTGTGATAATGACGTTCCGTACTTCTATATATAGACTAAGTGTAATACGATTTATCTCCTTTAATATATACAATTTATGTAGGTGTATATGATTATTTTGTGGTTTGTAACTGCTGTAATGCCCAATGATGCCCAATCCTATCAGCAATCATACCATATCTCATTAATTTGATAAATTAATCCAACAATATTGTAAAACATAAAAAAAAAGAATAAACTTACATCTGTTGGATATGTGGGTATGTTTCCGTCTTGATCTCCACGGATGGAGCAAGTGGAGGTGGAGCAGTGTATCTAAATATTAAATATAAATAAATCCTATATAATCCCGGCGAGGGAAGAACAAAAAGTTGCCACCACAAATTTGCATATTTATCATTATTTTGCTGACATTAGAGGAATCATGAATATTATATATATATTACACGGGAAGTAAAGGAGAAGTTTTTTTATTTCAAAATTAAAATCACGACTGAATACAAAGTATGCATTTTCTATTGTGTGATAATGACGTTCCGTACTTCTATATATAGACTAAGTGTAATTCGATTTATCTCCCTTAATATACTCAACAACAACTATGACGTTACATACCTACCGTTACATAGTTACGTTGTATAGTTTCACCTGAAGATTGTTTTAAAAAAAAACATGAAAGTACTTGTGAAGTAAAACTATTTATACAGGAAATGTTGGATTTAATAGTAATCTATATATATTTCTATACACAAGAACTTATTGCATCTCCTTATTGCTTATATATTAATTTAACTTGTGACAATATATGCGAAACATAAAACTATAAAACTTACATTTTAGTGATGCTAGGTTTGGTTTCCATTCTATCCTTTTGTAGGTTATCAAGATTAAATATAGAGTACCACCATTAGCAATATATCTATATATTTATATATAAAAATTTCCTGTTTTTAAACAACTGTCTAAATTAATATTATATGTTGTATAGTTTAAGGATAAATTCCAATGTCAGCTTGTAAACGTATTTTTAATTTTAAAATCCTTAAGGCATCCATTATTAATCAATTTTTGTGAAGTTTTAGTCAGATAAATTTCATAAATGAAATATGGTATTAATTTTACATGAGATATATTAAAACAATCATTGTTTTAGTCTTCAGGGTACAAAAGCAATATGTTACCATTTCAAGACAACAATTTAAAAGTGCAACGACACAATTTTTAACAAAAACAATTATTATTCAATAAGTAATTGAGTTTTTATGAAATTGTTCTCATTTTAATAGTAATTGTTTAACGAATTTATTGAAATTACATGGACCATTTGTGTCTGAAATAAGAGATTATCTTATCTTATCTTAATAGGATTCCAATACAATAGGATCGAACAATCTAATGTATATGTGGCGAATAGGCCAGGGTCGAAAGATTATCGTTCCACAGGTACGCATGAGCGGCCATTTGCAGAAAATATGAAGACGTTTTTAGCGGTGATTGTTTTTACTTTGTATTTTTTGATGTACACAGATGCTTGTTTGCCATGTACAAAATTTGGAATCACGACAGAGTGTCTATGTGAAGAAGGAATATGTTTACACATTGAAGATGACAACATATACCTTGTCAAAATGACTGGATCGTGTAACTGTAATGTTACGTATATATCCAAGAAACCCCCACGGGTCCAAAATAGGAACGATGCATCTTGTTCCTGGACATGTTCAAGTTTTCTTTGTTGTAAGTTTTTATAGAAACTATACCAATATATTATCTAACACTCCTCTGATTATAATAATGTTTTTAAATCTTACATGTAATATAACATATGTTTATTTCAAATACAGTTACGTTAATTTTGTCATCCATTATATAATTTCTTGTCCCGCTTTTTGTCCTACATACAGAAAATGTAGATGCAAACTATTTCATGATTGTGGTTGATTCTGCATATACACATTCTAATAGCTGTAATTACAGTTAATGATAAATGTAAATTTCAATCAGTGATAGTGTGTGTGTGTGTGTGAAACAGAATTGGAAAGTATCAAGGATATTGTGTTAATAGAAAAAAAGAAAGAAAAAACTGTCAATACATCATAAAGTATTCCTTCAAAATACAACATTTACAAAAATATGAATGAAATCTTGTGTTTATTTTACAGTTCCCAATAATGCAACAGTTACAACCAAAATAAATCTGTTACTTACCACACTGACAACAGGTGCAGTACCTCAAAAGACAGAAGCTACAACAGAAAAGACACCAATAACAACAGGAGTAACAACATCAACTATCACCATAGGAGAAGCAACAGACACAACACAGACAATATCCATGACAGTAACAACAACAGATATAAATTCTACCATTACAGATACAAAAAAAATAATAAAAAATTGTATTACCTTTATTGTACATTAAATTTTGTTGTGTAAAAAATAGATGTAGATCAAGATTTTTGTTTGATTTATGAAATACATTGTTGAAGTGAGCCAAGTTTGTAATGTCCATTGGCCAATATTTCAAAGATTTTAAGGACAGTGTCACATTATAAACTTTATCTTTCCTGTACCTTTTTTTTTCAGAGTTCACCTCTATAATTTGAAAAGTAACTTGATCTAAAAGGTGTTTCATTGAGCAAATATTTATATAAATGCCCAAAAAAAAAAGTGTACAAAACAACACCAATATATATAAATATAAAAAAAGGAAACATTAAATATAAATATCTATGAATATTTTGGATAACAGATATCCTTTATCAGTATGATAATGATGTAAATTGAATCATATCAATCTATTCTGATATAACTATAATAATTATTTTTTTTATAGGATTGTGGATTTGGGCTGTAGTTTTCAGTGTTTTCACTGTAGCTGCCTTAATGAAACTTATTCTTCAACTGCGAAAACAACAGAACCAATACTTACCACTACTTAGAAGCCTTAATTCTACCACAAATTCACATCTTTATAGCCAGACCATGCAGTCCTCATATTTAAGTATGGAATCATCCCAAACACCATCAGCACAGGGAAATATTAGCACGCCTGAACCATTCAATCGTAGCATCTACACGCCACCACAGTCAACAAGCCCAAAACATGATACACTACCATCACCACCTCCAGCATTTCATATCAATGACCAAGAGGAATCACCTGAACCTTCTGCATCACCAATTGAATTGATGTCAATATCTCCCATTGCCAGTAGAACAAGAACCAAAACAAAAAAAAAGATCATGTTTGAGGAAATTAATTTGTAAAAAAAAATACTTGGACATTTTGAATCAAAGTCAGAAAAAAAAATCATAACTATTGAATTAATTTTTTCATGTCTTTGGATAAAAAAAAGACCATAATTGTCTTAATATTTTGTAGTGTATCAGTTTGTTCAAGAAAGAAAAATAGCAACAACAAAAAATCAGAAATACTACTACTCTGGAATTGGTAAATGTAAAATTTGGAAAAACACCATTATTACAAAATAATAAGAGATAATAAAGATGTGTTTAAATGTATATTCCAGTAAATTTTTATAAATATTTTGTTTGTTTTACATATAAAGAATCTCAATCTATGCAATATTAGTATATATATTTTTTAACTGTGCACATGTGTTCATATACAATTATTTAGAAGTAGTTTTTAATCCCTGCATTTTTTTAGATTAGTTTTATACCTATGAAATTGTTTAATTTAAAATACCTCCTTTAAAAAATTATGATATTATTATGTTTTTATCAAATTTTATTCAACTTCCTGATGTATTTTTTGACAAAAATCCAAATGTGAAGTGTTGTTATAGAAAAGCTGAAATACCTCCCTTTAAAAAGATTTATGATGTTTATATATATATATATTCAAATTTTATACAGTTATTGTTGAAACTACTGCATTTCATACTACAAATTCCAAATAAGTTGTTTTATTGTCATTTTTTATATTCATGAAGGTTTAGACTACACATTCCAAATAGGCTGTTTTGTTGTCAATTTTTATTTTCATGAATGTTTAGACTACAATTCCAAATAGGTTGTTTTGTTGTCAATTTTTATGTCCATGAAGGTTTAGCCTACAATTCCAAATAGGTTGTTTTGTTGTCAATTTTTATATTCATGAAGGTTTAGACTACAAATTCTAAATAGGTTTGTTTTATTGTCAACTTTTATATTCATTAAGGTTTAGAAAAGCATGTCTGTCATTATTATTAGATTAGATTTACAGTAGATGTAGCATTTTTCCCATTGTTGAATCTAGATTTTTGTTGTAGTTGATTTTTTTGTTTTAATTTAGATATGCAGTTTAGAAAAAAAAAAAATGTCAGTCATTTTTACTAGATTTAATTTACAGTAGATGTAGTTATTTTTTTTTACATTGTTAAATCTAAATTTTTGTTTTTAATTTAGATATTCAATTGTGTGTATTAACTAGTCATTTTGTATTAGTGCCAATGAATTTTATTTACAAAACACTCAATATATGTGCCATTAATAGCATTATTACAATACATCATAAATTAGGTAAACTTATAGAAATCTTAAAACATGCATACCCCCTTTTTTACTTTTTCATAAATATCACATATCATGTTTATATGTGCCTATAAACTGTGATAAATTTATTTTAAATACAACACTAAATAGCTGTATTGTTTGCTCATTATATGTGACCATATTATGTAGTTCTACTTATTATTTAAAAAAAAAATAATACTTATGGTGCTTATTTGAACAATACTCTTTTTTTTAATATTTGTTATAGATGCATTTCTTTATAATGTAGATCATTGATAAATTTTTTTATTGTCTAGTTTTATACTTATGATGTTATTATTATTATGTTTTTATAAAATTTTATACACCATTATTATTAAACTACCTCATTTCATTGCTGATGGTTTTTTTGGACAAAAATTCAAATGCAAAGTGTTGTTGCCACTTCTGTTATATAAAATGTATACACTGTTATTGTTTAAACTACTGCATTTTACACAGATTATGACATTATGTACCTTATTTAATTCCTCTGATGTTTTTACTACAAATTCCAGATGTGAAATGTTTTTGAAAGAACTGAAATATATCCCATATCAAGAACACTTTGATATCATTGTTTTTGTTTGAATGTTTTAATACACTATTAATGTTAAACTACTACATTTTAATACAAATGCTTTCATACAGAAATCCAAATCCAAATCTGGTGTTGATTTAATATGATCATTTTAAATACTTTTTTTTTTTTTTTTGTTGTTGTTGTATATTTTGTTATAATTACTGTTTCAAATAATAAACCCCCCAAGGGTGACTGGGGAATAGAAGTATGGTCACCATTGGTCTTCCTCCGACCGGCAGTAAAACCCGTGCTAAAGTGGGGCGTCCGTTTGGCTGTGCGGGATGTACAAATTTGCAGCCACGTCCGGTCAGAATGGGGACGTTAAATCCGATGCCTCGTGTGAAGAAAGTGCCACGTTCTTTGCACGTTAAGAACCCTTGCAACAACTCTCTGAGGGGTCCGTAGGTGACCTGTTGCAAGGCTAAATTTCTGTCCCTATCCAATATACCCTCATTTCCCGTGGCAGTCTAAATTTCTCCGACCTCAATCCCTTAATCTATTACAGAACCTACCTATTGTATTTATTGTTAACTTGTTCTCGTCCTGAATATGCATGAAATATTTGCCACTGGACGTTAAGCAACCAACAATCAATCAATCAATCAAATAATAAAAATGTTTATTAAATGTTTTTCTTTTCACTAAGCAGCTGTTGGTGTCAGGGGAGGAGGGTCTTAATTTGTGGTTAAAAAGGTTTAGATTTTTTTTTGTATGAGATATGAAGGGAGTAAATGTACATGAGACAAAATACACAATAAATACAGGAAAAAAACAAAACACTGAAACAATGTCTTTATTGTAATTCTATTACAGTCACCATGAGGCCTAACAATGAGCATTTACACTTTTATGATGGTACATCTTTGCATGTACAATATCATGACAAAACCAATGTGTCTTGCAATGTCCTTTGTTAGATTTTTTTTTTTTTTTTTTTAACTAACCAGTTTGAAATAAACTCCAACATATTGACTTTAAATTCTATTATTTTTTTTTCTTGCTGACAAACATGAGTGGGCGTATGAGATCAAAATTCAACATTAATGAAAGAAAAAAGAGTGACTCTTATTACACCTTAGTAAAGCACAAAGAAGATATGATAGGGAAATATAAATATTAATCAGTCAGTCCACCCATATAAACAGGCTTTAGGTACAAACTAGACTGTTGTTCACTTTAGACCTTTTTTTTTTTGAAAACATAGACAACAAAAATACCACATTAATACACGTGATGTCATTACTTGTGTCCTTAATAATAACACTAGTAACATTTTTTTTTTATCATAGTGAATTAGAGTTTTGTTCAGGACACATCAAAATGGAAAAAATTGTTGAAGAGGAAACTGACAGTTTGGCCATTCCTATGGCATACTCACACTCGAGCATGAGATCTAGTATTAGTTCTTTGTTTAGGAACTATGACATTCATTTCGACATTTTGAGAATGACGAATTTTGATACTTTTATCTATAATGAGTGCTACTTTGGCAATGACCCATCATATTTATGCTTGTGACAATTCTCAAAACAGAACTGATTGTATTCCATTATTCACTACTGACTCTTTGGACCAACAACAAAATTTTAGTTTGTGTACTTACATGAAACAATTTCAATTACCAGGACATTACTATGTCACAATATGTACCTATCAAGCAGACATCAGAGTTGATGTCCGAATGTATCTTAATGATAGACCTACAATCAAAGGATTCTTTCTGAACACAAATCAATATGAATATTTAAAAAGGTTGATACCACATATTGACAAATCTATAAGCAACGCAAGAGCAAGAATAGGACAATGATAAAAGAGAACCTGGTGGAATTTTCATGTACTATATACTTTTATGTATATATATATATATATATATATATATATATATATATATATATATATATATAGGAAATAATCATATAACTATAGATCAGACTGATATCGCTATGAGTGACGAAAAGACGCTTCTCCCCTTTTCTTCCCCGACAACACTGTATATTGCCGGTCCGACGCAATCTGGAAAATCGATGTTCACCTAAAAACTCATCGAGAATGCTTCAAAAATGTTTACGGAAACACCAGATAGAATCTTGTATGCTTATTCCGAATATCAGACATTGTTCGACGACATGCAGAATATTCCAAATTTAACTTTTCAAGAAGGACTACCAGACAAACAGGAAATAGACGAGTTTACCCTAAATACGAAACATGCTTTAATTATACTCGATGATTTAGTATCTAAAATTGTGCAATCCTTCGACCAATTGCATTTGTTTTCTGTAACCAGTCACCACAAAAAGGCATCAGTGGTGCTGATTTCTCAATCTTTGTATCCGCCAGGGAAGTTTTCGAAAAGTATATCCCTGAACTGTGCTAATTTTGTCTTGTTTCGTAATCCACGAGATATGCGTCAATTGACAACATTTGCCTCTCAGATACTTCCTGGCATGACAAAATATTTTAATGATTCTTGTAGGAGGGCAACTCGGGAAAGATTTAACTACCTTTTTGTCGACCTGTCGAATCAAAGAGAGGACAGAGAAAAGTTTATGTTACGCACGGGAATTTTCCCCAACGATACTTGTGTGGTTTACAGACCAGTATAAAATAGACACCAACCCATCTTGACTTTTAATTCTGTTTTTGCTGACAAACATGAGCGGTCGTATGAGATCCAACTCAGTGTTATTGAAGTTTCTGTACAAGACAAACAAAAAGCAAAGAGTGACTGTCTTATCACACCTTAGTAAAGCAGAAATAGAAGTTTTTTCTGAGATAGCTCTGAACATTTATAAAGGAGTGTTTCCAAACAAAACGAAATACGTGAACACTTTAAAACCGTTTAAATCGATCGTTTTCAGACTGGGATCAAAGTCGGTGAGTAGTCAAAAGAAGAAGAAAATTCTGATCCGATACCAAAAAATAATTCCACTCTTAATACGACCTGTTTTGGAATTTCTGTAGCACGATCATAATGGCTAAAGAACTGATATTATTAGCAAAGAAAAAATACGAAGAATTATTGGCATCGCAACCTTCAGCTAATGAAGACAATCAAGAAGACATGAGATATTCATCTGACCCTCCAGTAGATGTTTCAACACAAATTGGAAACGGCTTATTTGTTGAAAAAAATTATGATAATTATGCAGGCACGCCTGGAGTTCTCGAACATCCCTCACCTAAAATAAAAAATGCGAGACGGAGAAAGAAAAACGTAAAATGGATACCGTATTGACTCTATTTTTTTTTTTGTATCTGTGTAAAATAGTAATAATAAAACAATAGAAATTGACAAGTATTTTATTTATTCGCTACAATAACCAAACGGTAAAGTACTAAAGTCATTCAAGAGCCATCTCTTGGTGTACACCATTTTGTATTCTTTTTGCTCTGGTCTGTTATACAATTTTCGTTTGCAACCAAGTCTAGAAATTTTTCGGGGATTAGTGGTTAGGATCGAATTTCTGTTTTTGTCAACTACAATATCTCTAATCGCCGAAAAATTGATAAGCTCTTCATTCGCTTTAGTTTGGAGAGAAAATCCTCTTACTTTACACTTTTCCTTTCCTGATACCATCCTGTAGGCGTAATTTTTAGGGCCACCGGATACGAAATGAGTAATATACCCGTCTTCAGTCGAAATTTCGTTGGTCAGTTCACCCAAGTAGTTTCCTATCGGTAGTGTATTTGTGATTTGTTTGTTTCTATCTACAAATATGACGGAATCAGTATCCACGTAAAGAGTGTTCTCGTCCGTCTTCTCGAGTACTTTATAGAGACTAATTCTAGCCCAACAAGTGGTAAAAGAGGCAATAAACACGTTGGTTTTGTAGTCTATAGGTATGAAAGACGGGTAATCGAAATGTTCCGTCTGTACGGTATTTTCATTGATGATGTGAAAGTCCCTTACGTCCTTTTTTGGATCTGAAAGTAACTGAAAGAATTTTTCGGCTTCATTTTCGGTAAAAAATGTGGTCTGTTTCATGTTTAACCGTTGTCCAAACTTTCCCCAAAAACTATTCAAACAAATTTTGGCGAGGCTACGAAGACCTGGATTTTTTCTTATTTTATCGTAATCCAAGAGAATTCCTTCCTTTTGGGCATAGTCTGCTATGTAATCCATCTTTTGTTGTTCCGTTTCACACTCTGAGGAAAATCCGGAAGCTTCCTGTTTTAATTTCAAAAACAAATTAACATACCCGTCAAAAAGACCACCTTTCCCTGTTTGTCTGTCGTAGATTTTGGTTTCTGCGAAATCATATATTTCATAAATTTTGAGTATTCGATACCCTTTTGAACGAGCCAATTCTAACTCCGGTGCACACCAAGTTCCTATCATAGATCTGTTTGAATCTGTACATATACAACTACGCTGATTTTCTGTATCTGCACATTGTTTACATAAAGGATACTTTAATTTTCCGTTCGATAAGTACGGTAAAACAGGATGGTACAGACGTCTCGGTGGAAGAACTTTCACCTTTGCGATACCGAAATAATGTGAGAGATCGGAGAAATTGGACGTGACAATGGTTGGATGTCCGATAGGATATTTTGCATATTTATTAACGCTAGGATACAAACTGTAAGAAAAAGAAAAAAGGAGATAGGGTTACAGACATATAGGTTATTATTTTCTTTTCTTTTTTTTTCTTTCTTTTATTTACCAACTTAAAAACTCTTTTAAAGATAAAGGGGGTGTGAATTTGAGTTAATAGTTTACCACCAGTCGAGTAGTCAACACGTTGACATGAAATATCAATGCTATTGTCATATTTTTTTTTTAAATAAATTTACTGTTTGATTGAAAACTATAAATTATTCAAAATACTAAGGATTTTTCTACCTTCAGACACAGATTACTGTAGCCATATTTGGCACACAACCTTTTTGGAATTTTTTTTTTTGGTCCACAATGGCTCTTCAACTTTGCCTTTTTTTTTTTTTTGTCTTTTCAATTATTTCCGCTTCTAGCGTCACTTATGGAGTCTTATATATATATATATATAGACGAAACGCGGGTGTCTGGTGGTGTAGTAAAAAAATTATAAGCCTGATTAGTATTTTACCTCGTAAAATCGTAATATTCAATCGTCTCCCCAGGTTCCGTGGTTTCATG